TATCTTTTATTGCAGTATTAAAATACTTGGTTACGTAGTTAAAGATTACAAAAATTTATTCACGCAGGGAATTAATATACATAATTTTCCAAAAGAAAACGAAATATGAATTGCTGATATGGTACCGATAAATAATTTTACCTTCGATCATATGAATAAGATTCTTTACTACTCTCGTAAATGAATTTTGTTTTCACTCCAATAAATTTTACTTAAAAATAATTGTCTTCTTGAAAAAAAAATCTATTACATTTTAGGTTAATATAAAAAAATTATTATCAAGATGAATATTTTTATCTGCATCTGTTCTAATAGTATTTGAATATTTTGTGCCTTATGCCGTAAACTTCCAGTTTAAACCATTTACTCGTAAACCCATAGATTGCCGCTACAACGACGGTGTGTCCAGATTATTATTATGTAGAAACCCTTTTTTTATTGAGCGTGTATATATATATATATATATGTGTGTGTGTGTATGTACGTACACGGCCCTCAGGTAATAATTATTTAGGTCCATTATAGGAATTCTACGATTTATTGCATTGATGTGCACTCTATTGACACTTTATTGACTCTCGATACCAACAGCGACGAGATACTATTAAAGCCAAATTGATCTTATGAAAGTTCGCGTGACTGTAAAAATTTAAATAATTAGGAGTAAAAACTGATAATATAGTATTAATTTTATGATTTATTGGTATCGTAATGTTTCGTAAACATGTATAAATATTTAAAATTCAATAATATTCGATTTTTATTTAAAACTACGATTTTAATGTTATCGTTCGAGCTTGATTATCAATCGGAACGATAACTGTAGAGAAAAAAATTGTAATTTTGCGCAAATATATTTAATATTAGAGCATTATAAGCATACATACTTATTTTCGAAGCATTTATATAATAAAAAATCATAAATTTAATAACATATTATCAATTGTTGATAATGTCAACGCTCTTCAATTATCTTCGAACTTTCAGGGCTCATTTAAGGCTTTTTGGTACATACAAAAACTTAAGACGTAAGACTTAAGCAGTAAGGAAATCAACGTGGATTCGCTACTGCTTGCGTTATAGTCTTATGGTCTCCATTGTGATTGGTCGATTCACTTACTGCCTAAGTCTTAAATTTTTTTTATGTGTCATAGTCTTTAGGATGCATTCCACTTGACGCTCGCAACCAAGGAGACAAAATTTGTTTCTTCTGTTTAACGCCATCTATTTAGCTATAGGAAATTACGAACTTCTAACAATAAGTCATCTATATTATCGATATGCAATTGATACGGATACAAAAATAAAGTAAAATAGAGATTCTAAATTGTTTAGTATCTCTATTTCACTCTATTTCTGTGTCACACTGATCACTTCTATAATCTCTACTGCCCGCATGGTCCGTATCAATTGATATCGGTACGTATCGACAATATGGATGACTTAGAAGTTCATGATTTTCTATGGCTAAACTTGTAGATGGCGTTAAACCATGTTAAACGAAAAACAAGTTTCCTCCCCCTGATTGCATGGTTATGAGATATTTTCAGCTGGAGAGAAAAATGTCTACAGTTTAATTGCCGTTTAATTGCCTACAGATCGATTACCTACGTCTACATGTATTATTGCCTACAGTGTAAACATAAATGGAGATATAATTCATGCATTTCTGCAGGAATATATAATTTTATACGCAACAGGAAAAAAATGCAATAAATTTCCACACAGTTTGTCAGTGATTCTTCTTATTTCAAGCGCGCGCGCGCGCTTTGAGCGTTACCGACTCAGCGTCAATAAGTCCAGCCACTACTATGACCCAGCGAATTAATGCTCCGCACTGCAGTACCTAAACAGTATGCAGTACAATGTTGATACGGTGTACAAATCTTTTAATGTTACAATCTTTATCTATTTTACCTACTGACAATGTGATAATCGCTCTGCTTTATTTGCTGTTGGAAAGTTATCACCGGAAACTTCTTTATGCTTCAACGATAAAAGTCATTTTATAATATTTATACATAAACGTCTTATTTCACTTTCTTTTGCTTTACTTAACACTATTATACGTATTTCACGTTGCAAAAAGAGATTAATGTCAAGTTAAACGTCTTTAACTCGAGGCTGAAGACTACTGCCATCTTGACCCTCGGTGAAAGGCAATCGCATGCAGTTGTCCTCATCCATTACCTTCTATAATATACCTTTATTATAAATTTCATGTTCTTTATATTTTCCTGCTTCAACATTACTCAATGTGGCAAACATTCTAAATCATCGCGTAAACGCGTAAAACGTGCTGGTTAAATCGTTTTTTTTCTGCAAAAGACGAAACGCATCGCTGATCACCATCATTAAGGAATTTCTTCGATCGCCGAAGGCTACCACGTATCCTTCGCTCGTGAAATCGAAGGAACGGTGAATGGATACCTACGATGCATTGCTCGCATACCTGCGATATTACAGTGCGTGCGGTTGCATTGTTGAGCTGCGAATAGGAGTCTAATAGATCGATCGGTGGCAACTAATTAGATTTCGGAATTGTTAATTGGCGATCAGAACCTTATAATTACTCGAATATTTATGCGTTTAACGTTCAAGATAACCGAAGAAATAAAAATAAAAAATAAGAATAAAAAGGGAATGAGTTCAGCTGCACTTACGTTGATGACTTTGTCCTTGTAACAAATAATTATCGCAATTGCATTTTTCTATCCACTATGTGGATTTCGGATCCACAAAATTTAAGTTTAGCAATTATAACATTTGGGATCGTGGCAGTCTTTCATTAATATAGCACCATAATTAAAATTTGTCGTCATGGACGTTTTATATATTAAAGAATTTTGACGGTAATTGAAATGTGATACTCTAAATAAATATATAAATGATGTTGCATTCTGTTACTGTGGTAATAAAATTAGTGGAACGCATGTCTCATTACTCATTTTCCCCATTCCCATCACGTCCATGGCAAGGTGGACTTTGGTTTAATTTACTCGCCACGTGATCAGGAATGATGCCTGTTGTAAAAATAACGGCATCATTACTTGCTCTTTACATACATTCGCTAGATAGAAGTTAGCTAAATCGAGAATAAATAGGTATACATACCTCGCGCGAGATAATAAAATAAAGTGAAACACGCGAAAGCCGCAAAAGTGAAAAAAAAAAACAATTCCGTTTCAGCCCGTTAACGTAGCGGGATTCAGAAGGCAAAGCGCTGCTTTTGATAATCTATTTTTACTTATTTTCCTATTGATGCGAATACAGTTTTTTTCGCTATTATGAATAGCGCAAGAAAATGACATAGAAAGACCGATATACAATATTTTGTATTACTTTGCATATTCTGTTATATTAAGAAAAAAGTACCAAGAATTTATTTGTGATGAGATATAACGTTTATTTCACTGAATAATCCTTATTTAAAATATGGCAAAATAAAATTTTATTCCTAATAAATGAACTTACATCTACTTAATTTTTTTTACAATTGATGATATATTTTGCAGAAACATTTTGTCATTACAGTCAATTTTTTTATAATCAATATATGATCGAAAAAAATTATAACATTTCGTTATCGAATCTTTATCTTTCCGTTTGTTCCGATTGCCAGAAATTCCTTCAGTTTCATTGACGCATTATTAAGACCTGATTATTATCACGAAAGTGACGGTAAAGTCTTACGGAAGTCTTTAGAAAGGATTCCTTCTCCCCCTTATCAGGCTTTGAGGACAACGGCCTCTGGATTAGATGACCTCTATGAGGGATGGCCGCGCGCCCAACGCGAATCCTATCCTATTCACGTAAGTACGATCGTATTTCGGAAACGCACGAAGGTGAGGAGGAAAAACGCTCATCTGCACGCACTTGCAACGTGGCGCGCACGCAATGTGACATGCGCAGACTTGAACGCGGCCGCGTACTTCGAAGAAGAATCCTTACTGGACCACGAAACGTGAGAGCTCTCGCACCCACTTCCTTACCGAACACGTTTGTCCACGAATAAATTAACATTCATTACACACACATCACGTTTCACGCGCACTCATTACGCACGGGCCCCTATTAGTTCATTACTTCATATTTATGAAACGTGAAATAAGCTCCGGTACGTAAAAGCATAACGAAGAAAATCAAAAGTCCAAAGTGTATGTGCAATGTATGTACTTTCTCCGTCGTGTATTTTGTAATTTTCAGTTAATCTTGGATGGAATTAAATGAAGCACAAGATTTCGAGATTGGTAAGTACGCCGCTGTCCCGGCAGCAATTTACAGGACGTTTCAAACGTCGAAGCGCGCACCAATCGCGGTATACATCAAGTCTTTTTCTTATAGCTGAACTAATATATAGGTACATATTTGATATTTGGTTAAAGTGAGAAAAAAAATTGTAATGCGGTCTAGCGCAGGAATAAAAAATTGACCATAAACCGGTCGCTTCTCAGATCCCTTTTGTATCCTGATTCCGTAACTCTTAATAACAATTCGGTATCGTTATATTGTCGTTACGCAGATATATATGATAAAAAAAGCTATGCAACAACAACTTAACGATGCCGAATTATCATTAAGAATTACAGAATTGGGGTACTGGTCTCTGGATCCCTGGATCCACCTGTAATCTGCAACCTAGCTGAGACCGCGTGCGTAACGGTACATACAAACACGGTGTACGGTGGCTCCTCATGGCGGCGGCGCGAGTTATCTTCCTCTTAGGCGAGGTCGAGTGGCCGCATACCACGATCCAGAATCGCGTCGTGGAAGCCAGTCGTTGCTCGATCGTCCGCGACGTTTGGATAGAAAAAAAAATCTCGAGATCGCGACGACGGGGCGAGCCTGCGGTTCGCGCGCAGTTTCGAAGCCGTACCCCGAAATAACGTGCGCGGATCCGTCTCACTAGATCGCTGTTACATACTTGCGTTCCTTCCGGAGCCGCGTGGATCCTCGTGGAATTTCAGTCACGTCGCTCGATCGAAAACTCGTTTCGAAGCCTTCTTCCGAAGAGCACGGCAACACGTTCAGAGGTGAGTTCTCGATCGCGGCAAGTGATCTGAGAAAGTAGCTTCGCGATCGGCGTCGTCGTGATCGATCTCTCTCGCGTAAGCGGTATATCGGAGATACCGCGCCGGAGACATCGATGCTTGTCGCGGCGATATCGTCGCTCGCAGACGTGTCCTGCACCGCATCATCCCAGTCATAATCGATATATCGTTATGACACGAAGTTGATTCATCTTCAAATCTAGCTTCTATTAGTTAATTAGTTATTTTTCGTAAAGTTTGTTTCGCGTCACGTTGGATCAACAATGTTGGATCGACAATGTTTCGATACAATCTGGAAATTGAAACATTGTTATTGTAAAAGCAACAATGTATCTATAATGTAATACAGGAATACATATTTACAAATATGTATTATATTTTGTTATATTATTAAAAAATATTATGTACCAGTAATAAGATAAGTAAAGAAGAATACATTGGTACCTATAATACACTCAGTGGAGGATTATCTGTAATTTTCTAAATAGAAGTTAAAATTTACAAATACTTCAAGAAAAGAGGCTACAATAAATTAAAAAGAAATGAAATTTCTGATATTGTCTTTTTCTTCACAATATGAATTAACTTGGCTTGAAAGAATGATGTTTAATGATAATCAAACATATAAATAATAATCGTATTTTTTAAATGAAAATCTCTTCTAATTCTAATCTTCATGAATAAATTGACTGCTGGATACATTTTCAATCTTTGTTCAATTATTGTACGGGAATCAACTTAGACAACAAAATCCGAAAATTGTAGACTTTGTGTTGTCTGGAAAAGGGTTTATCTGCTAGGAAGAGAATCGTCAATGGAAGAATTGTTGTTTTAAATACCTGTCACCAGGCGCGTCGAATTGGTTATTATAACTCTGGAAAAAGAGGATGTAGAATTCAGGTATATCTGGTCCAATGTGGTGTACGTGCAGTGTGTATGTGTATATGGGTAAAAACTTCAGTTCCTGATTTGTTTACCTATTCTGAAACGAGCGAAGATTAAATTAACAATCATTTCTTACGTATCAGAAACTCATCACCAAGCCAGTTGATAATAAAAAAATTTAGCTCGAGTCCTGACTTACAATTAGTCTTGTGTGCGTGTACCTGTATGCGTGTACAACTTGTTCCGTAGTTGACCGTGTAATCATGTGAGCAGCATAATGAGATTAAATAAAATAAACGAGAAACAGTTAGGTTAATACCAGAACAAATATAAATCGATCTCATGGATCTACGGGGAACGATGTGAAATGAGGCTCGGATTGAGGGTATTTAAGTACCGCGATGAATTCGTTTACCTCACAAATGTTGAAACAAAGATCATGTGGTTGGCTTTAAAATGGCGTGCCGTGGCGCACGACATTCCGGCCGACGCACGATTAGGCGAAAGTATTCAAGGACAATGCAACCGTGGAAGACGACGTTCCGCGGTTAATGGCGCCTACTCATGTCGTGGAAAATTGAAAAGAATACGAATACTTCTTAGTTTTGAGCCCCTTATTCTAGAAATATGTGAAAGCGGAAACAAGTGTACGACCACTAAATTAATGTAGTTACAGTAAGACGTTGTGGAAAGACGTGTGTATGTTGACTTCATGATATATTTTTACTTTAGATAGTAATTCCTATATGAGTAATATACTACATGATTCATGACGTTCACGGAAGATTTAAAACGATTTTATGCTATATTTATGCTCATGTTGATTTAAAAAATTTTATTTCATAAAATCTGAGGAAGCTTATTTTTATTTAAAGGCATGACATAATTTTATGTTAAATTCGAATTAATTAATTGAAATTATATATAGCATTAAGTAGTAGCAAATACTAAATTGGAACTTAATAAATTAATTGAATATTATACATCCGCTAAGTAAAATGTTAGCAGCATATCAGTAGATTCGAGAATATTGCGACAGATTGGCATTAATTGCGTCTACATTAAACTCGTGTTCTATTAGTAGACCGAATACTGATATATTGTGACAGTAGAAAATGACGGAACGAAAATCTGTCATTTTAATAACATTTAAATATATATATTTACCATTTAAATATATCATTTAAGTGATTTAAATGATTACAAAATTATAGATTCGTTTCAGTTGGTTTCTGCAGTCAATTCGTTAACGTATTTTAATACTGTTATACTTATTTCGGCATTCTCTGCAGCATCCTCTTTCATTATCTCAAAAATTTTTAACTTGTGTCACTTTACTATTAACGCAGTGATATTCTGTGTATAGATGTGTATGTATATATATATATATATATATAAATTACTATTAATATCCCGATATTTGCATACCAACTTTCTCAAAATTTAGCCCTCGTTGGATAAGAATAACATCAAGATGATACTAAAAAATTCTGCACAATCAGTTAGAAATTTCTATTTATACTATAAATTTTACTTAATTCTAAATATTCGTAATGTTCTCTTTATGGTCAAGCGGAAATGATTGACGCTGAGGAAACTCGACGCGATCGCATGCGAACGGTTCGCCATGGCGTAGCACGAAAGTTCGATTGTGAATGATACAGAGCGAATAATAAAAATGCGGAGAGAGAAAGTGCTTCCTAAAAGCTGCTTTCTTATCGGCTACGTCGGTCACGGGTTGAATTTCGTTCAAGAGACATGCCCCATTTGAGACACAGCGGTACTCGGTTCAGTCGAACGGTTTCGGTTGGACGCAACTATGACTTTGAAACAAGCCGGCTATACGTACGAGAGACAGGATCACGCACGATTAATCTCCCGGCTGACTCTTGCATCGATAACCGCGAGAGAGGCGCGCGATTATGAATTACATAAGATCCTTGTATCACCGCGCGGTCGACTGCTGCTTTCTCTGTCTGACCTGGATAACTTGCATCGCAGAGTTCCTATTCTTTCGTCGCCATTAACACTCGCTATGAAATTGTCGCTGGAGAGAAAGAGAGATAAAGAGATTTATTATCCTTCGAGATTTTTATCCCTAACACGTTTGCAGTGAAGCAATATGCATGCATACGTTAACCTCGAGAGCACTTTGCGAAGGGAATTAAGTAAAACTTGCAGTTGACCGAAGAGAATAATATTGTGATTATGTAGATGTATGAATTTCAAAAGAATTTGATTTGCGCATGTATTTTTTAATTAATACTGTACATAATTATATGGAATAAGTACATAAGCAACTTTATAAACAGTTGTAGTACTTGTTTCTTCTCCCTTCCGACTTCTATTCCAGTATTTTATTAAAGATAAAATTAACATGATATAATTACATTTATCTCTCTTAAGTATTGATGAAATTAGATTCATGAAATTTTATTCAAAGGAGCCCGCATTAGTTATATGGAAAATTGGATCCCGGTGAGAAATGATAGTTACTTTTCACATATAATGTGTGATGAACAAAAAATGTCACAGACACAAAATTTAATATAATAATAAATAATTTTTGTGCTATGGTGTACCAAAATTGCTTTGTGAGCACAAGTTTTACATTTTTGCTCCACCATAGCTCCAAAATTATGCATTATTGAGCCTTGTATCTTTTGTTCAGCCTTATAAGTTATATCATACATATATGTGAAAATTAACTTATTCCACCGGGACACAATTCACCATGTAATTAGCAGATTCCTCACTGATTATATGGTAAATTGACTCCCGGTAAAATGAGTATTCACACATATATTTTAAGTTATAGTGTGGTGAACAAAAAATTTCATAAACTTAGTAATAGATAGTCTTTGGGCTAAAATGTATCAAAGATGCTGTGAGCACAAGTTTTATATTTTTGATACATCATATAGCTTAAAAACTATCCATTATTGAGCCTTGCATCAATGAAATCTTTAGTTCATCATATTATAAGCTACTGATAATAAGTATAAAATTAACTCATTTAATCGGGACCCAATTTTTAATATAATTGATGAAAGAGCTCTTGTGTGTCGAAATTAGTTGTTTTTAATATACTTGTGTGATAATTGGATTATTTTGATTTCATTACATTACTATATTTCAACTTTCGTTATAGAGACGGAGCTCAACATTTAAGCTCAACATAATTTTAATTTTTGAAGTTTTAAATGATCTCTCCAATTCCCATTACAAACGTTTAGAGTCTTTTGTACATAACACGTACGAAACTTGATCCTGGTGCTAAATACTCGTGTTGACAGAAGAAGAGGATGACGCGCAACATAAATATCTTTTCGCGAAATCGGTCAGCCATTTTGCCGTTTTCCGGTGAGCCGACTCGTCGAAAGAGCCAACGAAGAACGTCGCGAAAGAAGACGTCGCGGCATGGCGCGGACAATGAACAGTCAACGATGTCGAAAGGCTAAATCGCCGTCGTTGCCATTGTCTTCGCCATGTATCTCGTGCCATCGAATCTAACCTACGCGTCCTCGCAGCCACGCTCCGCGAGCTTGCCTGGCTTGCCGCTGATCGAGGGTGACTAACCAAATTAGCATAAAATTGCGAAATGCATTCCGCGGTGAGCACGCCGGAGAAGGACGCCAGCCGTTTGCTACTTTTACTAGAAGCTTTAGCCACAGAGATTTATCCGCGCCGCTCTTAACGCTCGTGAGTGTGTGCTCACTAACACGCTGCCTGCGATCTGCGATACATATGAAGCGCAGGGCCGGATGGCTTATGAGGTTTCTACCTCGAACCTTGAGAATAATTGTTAATTTTATAAGAAGAATTAATTTTATACGTATTCTCTAAAACTTTTAGAGTGAATTGTCACTCTGAAGAGTGAAATTTCACTCTTAAGGTTTGAAAATTGAGCAACTTTTTCTCAAGACTGATTTAATTTTCACTCTTTAAAATGACATATTTCACTTCAAAAAATTTAGGGAGTAACTATTTGTAAAATAAAGAGTAACAATAATGAAATGACAGTAATAAGAAAAATTATACAATTGATAAAATACGCAATATGTGTATTTTATCAATTGTACAATAATTTTTAATGTAAAGATACAATAGCTAACGAAATAAAGATATGTCAGATGTGCGTCATATCAATTATTAAAATTAATATAAATGATGGATCAGGAATAAAGACCCTAAACGGTCAAGCTAGATCTTTAACGCTTAAATAATTTCGTGTGATATAGCCAATTCTGCAAATTGCGCGGCGAATTTAATTTTCAGTCTTGAAACGCAATTTTAACAGAATTGGAGCAGTAATATCATAAATTAAATTGACAAGCAATTTAATAATATTGATGCTCATAGGCATCTTAGAAAATGTTGATAATATTGTGCTGATAAATATCAAACCCATAAATAATTTTATTGCGAAAAATATTACTTCGACTGGAGATCGAACCCGGATCTCCTACTTTCCAGGCGAGTGTCCTCACAGTTAGATCACCGAGGCCTTAGTAATGTTTTTCGCAATAACTAACATATGTAGAGAATACGCACTTAAAGGCCACGTAAACAATATAAAAAATACAGTATTTTTTATTTAAGCGCTAAAGCTCTAGCTTGACTGTTTAGGGCCTTCATTTCTGAGTTGTTATTCTTACATCTTATTCACATTACGGTTTTAAAAGATACAGATTAAGAGTTACAAAAATACAAAAGCTGGCGAAATAAAGATATGCAGAATATGTGCCACGTCAATTTATGAAAAAACAATATAATTGACGGAATTGAGAGAGAAAGTGGTACGGACTTCGTTTCATCATCTCTCTGCATCCGTGGTTTCCATCCTACAATCATTAAAATATTTTAATCTGTGTCTAAAAAATAAGTTTATTTTTACTTAGTAGATTATTTTTACAGCAGTAGAGTGATGTCATAGGTATACAAACTAAGGTACAAACATTTATAGGTATATCTTGTACGCGTCATAGACATATAGATTCATGCGTGGTCGTGTGTATCTCGATCTTGCGTAGCTGAATACTCGTTGCAACACTTCCCATATTTCCGAACGTGTAATTATGATTGATATCAAACCGCGTTCATGCGCCAAACTAATGTTTTCTTTGAACACAGATTGGAGTCGTAATATTACAAAAATTATCTGAATTTTAAAATTATTTGACTTCATAATAATAAAATCTGAAGATCTTCATTCTTACTAGTACGACTTCAACTTTAGAAATTGTTTTTTTATTCTGAGAACTTAAATGAATATACGATATACGACATATATTAATTATATATGTATATGTGATTATGTATATATAAATAAAGAACTCGGAGCATTAACATTCTTCGAACTGTGCCGGAAGTTGCGTGACGATTGGAAGGGATAACTGGACAGTAACATGGGGCGATGCTTCCGTTACAAGCACGATTGGCGTAATATTTCTTGTCACGCGCGTAAGATCTGATATTGAAAACCGATGAGCAATTTGAATGATATCGCGTTCAAGTCAGCTACAAGTTGAGAATTATTATAAGAAAGTAAGCCATATAAGCTCAGAATCAGCAACAATTCTTTTAATCTATCGACTTAAAATAATTAGTGGAATTGTTTCGTTTCAGTACAGACCGATTGACGCAAAATGACGGATATTTTCACGCGGACGTCAATTTAACGCCATTCCAAGATGTACGCCGAGTGGCAAAAGGTGAGTTGATCTTTATCGGCTATGTGTCTTGAAAGATTGGACTCGTCGTGAGTTGTTTTTACATACTCTGATAGAAAAACGTTTATGAAATTATACGACAAGATCGTGCGTAAAATTTATGATCTGCAATTGTATGGGTGTATTTACAAAGATAAATGTACAGAAAAATATTGATTTCTTATGAAATACTGACAATTGCTTGCACAATTAATTTCGAAATAATGTTTCGACAAAACAATAAATTCCCGAAAGAAATTATTTAATAATTGAAAAAATATTTGAGTTGTATTATATATTTGAAACATTTAGAAATATAATTGTGCGTGAAGAAATCGAATTAATCGATGCATATGTTTATAAAAATGCATAATTATTCCTAAATTATAATATGGAAATTTTGCGACATGAAATATTACATATTCAGCATGGCTAAATTTTAAGTAAAGAATTGAACGTTATTTGAAATAATTATAAAACATTTATCTCAAAATTGGATTTGTCTAATTTTTGGCTAATATTATTTAGAAATTTTATTTTAACAAAATTGTTATGATGAATTATTTTATTTCAATTATTGTGAAATTTTCATCAATTTATGATGACATTGTAGCGCAATTCCACAATTCGCCTATCGGAGATATAAGAGTAATACATACTTGTACATGTAGCGTGAATCCACGTGAATCGAATACCAAGCGTTTCTAAAGTATACGATTATTTTATTAAGAAGAGTCTAGTGAAAAAAATGCATGTAATTTTACATGGAAATTACATGTATAAGTATGACTGGAAAATTATCTAAATTACATAAATATGCTTAGAAATTTACTGGAAATTGTAAATTTCCAATCATATTTAGGCAATTTTCCAGTCATGAACATGTAATTTCCATGTAAAATTACATGCATTTTTTTCAGTGTATAATCGGAGGTATCGATAAGAGCAAAGGGATTGATGATGTAAAAGAAGAACGGTCATTTTTCGAGCTCTCGTTAATCTTCATTAAAGGCGTCGTGATTCTCACTCATCGACTCATAAACCGTAAGACAGTCATTTTTGGATTGTCACGGCATTACACAATGTTTACGTGGTCACGACCGCGGTGGGATCTCTCTCTGCGTGGTCGGAGTCAATGATCTGCGCACACGCAATTGCATTGCTGCAGCAGCCACTTTCCAACGCCTCGTCCGGCGGTCTTTCGACGCTTAGTCAACGATCAATCCGCGCGCTGATCGTCTTCGATTTTTTGCAGAATTGAAAAGACTCTTTAGCCTAAAAAATGAGTATTTTTTACAAGATTGGTGAGGAACTCGAAAGACCGTTAGAAGTGACACATTTAAAAGAGGTACGCGGCGTGTATCGATTCTATCCGTCCAAGTGCGTGATTTTTTAAAACTTTTTAACTAAAAAAAGATTAAACGACAAAATTGAAGAAATCGATTTTTTTAACGTAATACAAATTGAGATTTTGTAAAATTTTCGAATTTCAACAAGCGATTGAAATGCGTTTTCACGAGTGAGATTTAATGAAGCTTGATTTAACTGTGAATAAGATTTAATCTGCGATTTAAGCTCGACTTTTAAAAGCAGTATCCACTGCAGCGACAATATCGAGGGGAATTAAAAAATTTTGCTACGCGGACGCGTTTGGAATGCATCGCGAGCGAGTTGGCGCAATGGCGGCTTCTCACTTTTACTTCGCTCCCCGAGCATGCAATCGCGGATAATGACCGACGGAATAATTAAGGAAGCATTCCTTACATCGAGGCGCGAGTGTAGCAGAAGGGCATTAACGAAATTGAAACGGATATTAAATAACTGACATTATCGAAAATGAAGACATGAAGCCGTAAAGGATTTAACGATCTGTGTCCTTTTATAGCCCGGATATTCTATCTTCTATCCGTTAATAAGAACAATTTCGGACGAAACGATACTGCAAGTCCGTTTCTTCTGTTTTTTGTTCTTCAATTTTAAGGAATGAAATAATTTAGAAGAGTTGCGTGATACCAGGAAATCCGTTTAACTTGGATAAATCAATCCAACGTCGCTACAAAATGAACAAGAAATAATCGTGTCCCATCTTGCGGTTGCATTCGCTGCACTCCGTAATCGACAATTTCTATCGCTCTTCTGCAACTCGCCACGGCCACTAGGCAGAATAGCTTCCCTTCGCGCGTTCCTGCGCCTCCCGTTCCCGTAGCCACCTGTAGTATGTAATACCCCGCGCACGTGCATGTATGCGCGGTGCGCGCGCGCGTATTTAGCGCGTAATTTATATAAGAAGAGAGGCACGCTTGGTTCCACCCCAAAGCGCTTCGATCCACTGGCGCCGGTAGCTTATGATTTCATCGCGCTTAAATCGCGGCGTTAGACGGAGCCTAAAATGCATGCAGAGAGACTCCGGTCGAGATTGGGAGCTGCCGATAGGCGGGACAATGCGGCGAGAGGAACTCGAGGAACGCGGGGAAAGTGCGAATCCGGTGGCACGATTGGAGCGGGCGCGTTCGATCGGGAAATATGGGCCGCTTTCCGCTTTCCGGCCTAATTAGCGTGCCTCAATTAAAATTGCCATATACGCCACTGCGTACCCGAGGCAATTGTTGCAGAGAGGGAAGGAAGACCCGCAACTTCCACAGTGCCGCGTCGAGCATCCTAGCGTCCGCATCGAGCGAACATCTTCGGCCTCGCGAAGGAAAGAGGGCTTTTCCCTTCGAAGAACCTCTTCTTTCGCAAAAAGGTCGATTTTGCGAATCGCCGGATAGTCGCAGCGGAGAGGACAGTTAGCGGTGGGACCGAAAGATGACGTCGCCGGACACCGTTAATGAATTCCGCGTGTGCAGCACGGACTTTTGCCGACTGACCCAATGAGCCCGATAAACGTTTGCTTGGCCTCCTAACTTCTTTAAGCCGAATTTAACATGCGCGCGACAATGCGGACCTCGTCAAACGACTTAGGCGATCGCGGATCGTGACGGGACTTCGCAATAAAACTCGGTCGGCGCATTGCTGTAAATAAAGCCGAAATGCACGAGGAAAAGCCGGCGACGGACAAAAGGCGGAAAATGGTACACGGAAGTACGCGTCGGATGGAGGCTAACGCTGAAAAATGTGGAGTCTCGACGAACGGGTGATAGTTCATCCTGAGACATTCGACAATCTCTCGTCGCGGGTTTCAATTGGAAACGGGAAAACTTTATGCGACATTATTTTACTAGGCGATATGATCGATACGGCCGAATGAAGCAATTTTTTCGACGTGAATAGACGTACCGGTGTATCTAATTGAAAACTTGTTGGCGATGTTGTTGTTTGCTGTCTCTCACTTTGTTTTTTCGATTTCTTGCGGTAAACAGTGTTAAAATCGTATTATGCACGAGTAACTAAATTTCACAAATATGAGAAGAGAAAGAGATAATAAATATTAAATAAAATAAATGATGAAATATAAATAATAAACAAGACCGTCTTGAATTAATGAGTCTATGTTTGGTTGAGTAAATCAATAGATAATAATTAATATCAACATAAATATGTGTGTGATTCGCGAGTGGTTCACGTGGTGTTTTAACATGTTCTGAACCAACCGTCACGTCACGTCAATTTTAAGCGGGATATCGAATCTCCTGACGAATCTCACGAGTGAAAAACGTGTGTCGCGCGTGTTGATACCTTGGTGCGCATCCGAGAGAGTTGCGTAGCGGGCATTGACTTGAAACGCTACACGCGTTCATCATCCACGACGAGGTTGTTATTTAAATTGAGCGAACTTGAAAGAAAGAAAGAGATATGCAATCGAAATCGGCGTTGCTATAACTGAGGAAAAACGCAATCGTACTGCACGCGATGTTTTTAAAAAAAATGAGGGAAGAGAGAAGAAAAAATAAGACATTTGTACACGTAATTGTGTATCGTGAACTGTGAAAATAACTGGAACGTCGAGGATAAATACACCCTCCCGTTCTCGTTAAAGATTCATATGTAAATATTTTCGAAGGCTGCATTCGATAGAAATGGAGTTTCCGCTTAATTTCTGTGATTATATGGGAACCGATACTTCGTGATGAACTGAATGAGATTGCGCATCTGTAATCACGCGATTGCGTTTTAGCGCATTGTGTGTCACGTCATTTACGTACGTCATTTATATACGATTATATACAAAAATAAACGGATGAAAATATATATCATTTTTATGAGAAACTCGATTAAAGAAAAATCATTCACAGTTTTGCAAACGGAGATCCTCCGCGAATGCATAAATTATATTTGACATAATTCTTTCGTGTTTTGAAAATGTCCATTAGCATCAGTAATATTAAATTGCTTGACAATTTAATTTGTGATACTATGTACTCCAACTTCAGTTTAGGACTGACGTATTTCAAGACCGGCGAGTAATCGGCGCGCAGCGCTTTTTGCTTGAACTGGAATTCACATATTATCAAGCAGCAAGACCCATCTTTGAACCGAATATGGCCCTCTTTGCTTATTTGCTTTAATTATATTCGACTTTTGTTACTAACGCATTCGAAATAACTATGAATGAGTATTCGAAGCTAGTAGAAAGTTAGTAAAATATAGTAGAGGAACCGAATTGACAATATGAGTGACAACATGATCTGCAACAAAAGAAGTTTTGGGTGAGAAGACAAGTAGCGTGCGATCGTTCTGCACATGAAGTGCGCGACCGATCGCCGACATTTCCGGCAGCGATGGCCAACGTGGACTCGCCGGGACCAAGCACGAAGCAGCAGCAACGGCGACGCTGGTCCATGGGTCGATCATCGACCTCGCGGAGTCACTTTTCGCTGCACTCCTCGGAAGCTTTCTACGCGAGCGCGGAACCGTTATCCGGCGGCCGCGGTGGACGTGCATTGCATAATGCGAGCGGCAGCGGCCCAGACCCAGATTCGAATTCCGTCCTGGATTCCTGCGCGCCGGAAACGGGTACTAGGCAACAATTCCGGACTTCCACCCGGCGACCGTCCCGAGATTCGAATGACCGACGTGCAATCGTCACGAAGAATAACGGCGAGACCTTTTACACGGTGCCGCGCGGTCTGGCGATCTCCAGGAAGGAGATTCTACAGCGCAGATGTGTCAGAGACGACGTCGAGACGGTTCATCCTACATCGGAGAGGGGTCAAGTGGAGAAAAGACCGACGACCTTGCCGTCGATCGGTAGAAGAACTCGTCAAGACGCCGAATGTACTTCCTCATTCTTAAAAAGAGTCTCCAGACAGGACATTCTACGACGTCGTGCGAGCGTAGAGACAAACTTGCAGTTAAAAGATGCCGCGAGAACATCTTCAGGTATCCCAAGTTCCGGTCGCTTGGCTAAAGAGGATCGCGACTTCTCGCGGCCATCGACCCTGCCGAAGATTCTACACGCCTCGAAGACGTCTCGATTAGAGGAGTGTTCCTCTTCGAGAACGAGGGAGACTGCCGGAAGGGAAGCACCGATTTATGGAAAGATTCGGCGACGGAAAATGTCACTACCGACTGGCGTCGCGACGCTGCGCGACTCTACAACTCCTTCGAGTACTCTAACGAGGTTCTCGAAGACGAGATCGAGTGGAGAACGCGCCAACACTTTGACATTGCGCGACTCTACGACTCCTTCAAATACTTTGACGAGGTTCTCCAGGACGAGGGCGAGCGGAGAATACGTGGACACTTCGACGAAAGTCGTCAGGCACTTGCGAGATCCTGTTCCTAACCCACCCGATTGGTCCAAATGCGCGAACAACGTTAGTCATAATGATATTTATGTCAAGGTCACGCGTAAAGCGCCTAGGCAAGCTCCTCATGAAGAAAGACTAGAGCCGGTAGATAGAACGATGTCCAGGCGCAGAATAATCAACAATGTGGACGATATGGATTCCTTGGAGCGAAGGATGCACCAAGATCGAGATCAGGACGTGGTCAGGGTTAAGCATGACGCCATATTGGTTTCCAAAGCGGACATCGAGCGACTGCGTAATTTTAAAACGGAGAGAAACGAGGATGTAAAGACGTCTTGCCGCGTAGATTCCACCTGGTCTGCGCGAAAAGATTCAAAAACGGATTCTTGGTCTCGAAATAAGTGTCATCCTAGAGATTCCACGTGGACCAGCGAGAGGCAAGCGAGGTGCCGACCAAAGTCGCAGACCGAGTTGCTGACGAAAGAGCAACCGGAAGGTTCGAAAACGGGGATAAAATCAACGACGTTGCCTAGCTACATGAAAATCGGACGGAAAACGTCGACGGGAAATTTAACTGCGCGAAATGTGGACGAGCAGAGAAGAACCTCGATCAGCGGAGTGTTGACGAAACAGAGCAAAGAAAGATCGAATTACGTGAAGAAAACGGCGACGCACATCCCGACGCGTATCCCAACGCACATCAGAACGTTCAGTGACGCAAACAGCGCCCGCTCTAACTCTCCGGACATGTCGTCATCGATATTTGGTTTCTGCACCGGAAAAAGGAGGCTCCAGCCGTCCTCCGTAACGCGTAGATCTCCATCATGGAACTTGAAAACGGTTCGGGATTATCTATGAACTGATCCGAGATACTATTATGATCTAATGAAGCTTTAAATTTCAAAGGATATACAGTTGAAAAATTTTTTTATTAAATTTAACATTTCACGTGTCCCAAACAGTTCATCTAAACTTTTGTGTTAATTTAACATAAGATGAGTATGTTAGAAAGTAACACAAACATTATACGTAAAAATTAACACAAAAATGTAATACTTTAACAATTCGAAAATAAATTATGGAAGCATATTTCTTCAGTAAAATTAATAACGTAACATATTATATTGTACATTAATAATTAATATGTAATATGTTAAATTACACTGTTGGGAAAAGTGTGATGAATTTAACATAAATCGCATGTTCCAAACGATCCACTCAAAATTTTTAAGTTAATTTAACACAAGATGAATATGTTAGAAAGTTACACAAATATTGTGTAAGGAAATAAATATAAAAAAGGTAATATCGACACAGTTTGTAAACAAACCGTGGAAACATATTTTTTTTAGTAAAATTAACATTTATGATATGTTAAATTAACCCACATTTTATTCATTCATTTTAAAATTTACTTTTTAAAAGATTTTATTTTTACATTATTTGTTCATTTACTCGTAAATTGTGTCATTTTGACACTAAGAAATGTTTAATATCAATTTAATAACATATAATCACATTATGTTAAATTAACATTCGAATATTCGAATAAATTTAACAAATTCAATACAAACTGTTAACAAGAACGTGAGTGGACCATTTCTAACACAATGTTTTTTACTGTGCGCAGGTATATATTTTGTTTAATATAATCAACATTTATATGTTAAATTAACACGTGTTTCTTTCATTGAACTTAGAATTTACATTTTAAAATTGATTTTTAAAATTGATCTTAGAATTTTTACATTTTAAAAAATAATTATTATTTTTATGTTACTTAATCATAAATTGTGTCATTTGGACACTAAGAAACATTGAATATCAACTTAATACAAAATAATATTATTTGCAGGGTGAATTGGTGTGGTTCGACCCCGGTGTCGGCCATGTGCTGCCAGGCGAGGTTCTGGAATATCACAGAGCTGCTAATGTACTTTCGGTCCAAGCGGTGATCGCCGGCAAGGTAAGATAAGTCCGTTTAGAAAGCGCCTGCATATTAACCGTGCATAATTACGAATAGTAGATGTGCAAGAACACAATACCTGAGAAAAGATAGGCCAGACGTGCTCTTTCGGTTGGTAAACAGGCCTTTCTATCGACGATATACATCTGTCTCGACCTCTAGGCAACCAATTACTTTGCATTTTTTGAGAACGACACTCGGACAGGCTTAATTCACGTATGATTCACGTATCTTCGCTAGGATGTTGACCTAAATATTGGATTTCTTATTTTTAATTTATTTATATATTTGATTTTCCAAAAAGTATTTAAACGTATTTAAAGTTGATTTTACTGTTCAGCTACTAATATTCAAAATAATAATGGTTCAATTCTTAATTGTTCTTCGTTCTCGTGTCTTCGTCAAAATGTTTACTTAAATGTTTACCTAAATTGTGTTCTTTATTTTTACTTATATTTAATTTTTCTTAAAAATATTTAAATAAAATATTTAAAGTTGATTTCACCGTTCGATTATTAATATATTTAGAAATGTAATAATTCAACTGACACTCATAGAAAAACGTTGAAGACAACTTGCGCTTCAACTTGGCTCGGCTGTCAAAGCGATTAAGGCAATCCAAACACCGTCAGATCGGGCAGGAATGGAACAAGTGTATACGGTATCCAAGTGATCCGCTTATCGGTTCTTGACTTTCTAGTACGGCCCTCGCGCGTTTGAATTCGTTTCATTAGACGAGAACGAGAGGGGAAACTCTCACATCGAGCACTCGCGCCCGCGTCAATCTGGTTTCCACGTTTTTCATTCACTTTTTCGTTCTTCGCGCGCGTGTGATTTTCAAGTTCGTGCTTCCGCACGGGCCTTGAATCATGCATCGCCGGTCATCGATCTCCCGGTCGTGGGTCGTGGGTGACGCTAGAATTTCGAAAGGAGCTACACGTCGGTAAAGTGAAATGATTGACGGACGATTATTCGCACGCGTCGTAGTCTCCATTAATACGAGGCAGCCGCCTCATTATGCAACCGACACCCATCGCAGACCATTTAACAACGCGCCATTTTTCCTGCCCGCCCGTTTTGTGTTCTCCGCGTTGCATTGTCGTGCACTAGTTGCAGCACTACACTTCACCACTGTCCTATTATAGATGACGACGCACATTGGCGTCGTAAAGTACATCGATTACTTTCAAAAAGGAATATCTTAACGCTCGCGCGCAGTCAAATTTAATGGTATTCATAATTCGATTTTATATATTTAAAAAATGAATGGAAATCTCTGCATTTTGTAACACTAGAGAAATTAGTTGATATATTCGATGAAAATTATAAAATTTGAGAGAGATTTGTTTTTCATTATCTCAGTTTGCTATTACCCGTTAACATTGAAATATTTTTAATTTTTTTGAAAAAAGGGAAAAAAGAAACTCCAAAATATATCTATAAATTGTGATTTACATAGTTCTTCTAGTTTATCACGATTTTCGCAAATAGAACGACCAAAAAAACTTTGAAAGTGATACAAAATATTTTTAATTTTTTGAAATCCGTTGATAATTTCGTTAATTTGCCAGAAGTATACTACTCGTCGGCGCCAATGGAAGTGCAACTGCAGACGCAGACGGTATCCGGTTAAGGCTCACGTGAGTGGCTCTCTCGCTTCTTATGTGAATTTACACAAATCTTTTTTACCTCGGAAGCCGTATCGAGAAGATGTGGCAGGGACGATCGCAAAATTCGTTTCCGCTGGAAAATTACGTTTTTAGACGTTTCTCCGTGCCCCTTCTGCGCCAATTAGAAATTGGAAAGAAAGTGTCATCGAGTAATTGCGAGGCTCGCGAGTCGTCATAAAAATTATACAAATGCATGTTGTCGCGACGCCCGCGACCACTCTAGATCTTCGTGTGGAAAAATGACGAATAATTGCATACAATTATGTGTTTAAGCCGCAAATCTTCACTCTCACCAACTTGAGCGGAGTGAAGCCCAGGCAGGACTTAGGTCAAAATGGTGTGGAGGACATGATTCAATTGACGTAAGTCACGAAATTATCATGTGTCTACTCCCGTAATTATCATGCACCGACGTGAGACAAATTGAATGAATTGCAGGGATCTGAACGAGGCATCACTATTATGGAACTTGAAGATCCGTTACGACAAGGAATTAATTTACGTACGTTGCATTTACGTTGACTTATTCATTCCTAGCGTTAATAACAACTGACTCCAATAATTGTTTACGATGAATTTTTAGACATACACGGGAAGTATCCTCGTGGCGGTAAATCCATACAAAATGTTCGACATCTATGGACTAGATCAAGTGAAGCTTTACGAGGGACGAATCCTTGGTACACTTCCACCGTTAGTATTAATTTCTTTATCTATTTTTTATGAAGGTAGTTTAAAATGAAATTTCTAAAAAAGTAATAAAAACTAGCTGATTATAGGTATAAGTAAACATATCAATTAAGTAGAGAGAGTGTCTCAAGACTGTTTTATCGGTAGCAAACGATTTATTCAGACATATTGATAAAACTTAATTCATTCTTTTAAACTTATTTCGCTTTTAGCCTTGTAAAAATTAGGTTGCCTGGTCAACTTATGTCTTAAAAAGACATTTATCATTTTCTTTCGCAGACATTTATTCGCTGTGGGCTCCTCCGCGTACAGTCAAGTGACTGCAGCCAATAACTCCAGTGCCAATCAAGTGGTCGTCATTTCCGGCGAATCTGGCTCGGGAAAGACAGAGTCTACGAAGTTAGTGATGCAATATCTCGCGGCCGTTAATCGCGCGCCGAACAATCTCGTCACCGAGCAAATCCTAGAAGCGACACCGCTCCTAGAGAGCTTCGGAAATGCCAAAACGCCGCGAAACGACAATAGCAGTCGATTTGGGAAATACTTGGAGGTTCACTTCAGGGAGTGAGTGATATTAAAAGAAAATAATTGTAAAAAACAATAAAGTATAAAAAAATTTGTCCATTCTGTTGGTGCCTCATCACGCAAATAATTTTTCTATTTTTCAGCGGCGCGATCATTGGCGGTAGAATAACGCAATATCTTCTAGAAAAGAGTAGAATAGTAACTCAGGCTTCGGAGGAGAGGAACTATCACGTGTTTTATGAACTTCTAGCTGGACTCGATCAGCAACTCAGGGATAAATACGGCCTGCTTACACCGGACAAGTATTTTTATTTAAATCAGGTGTGTGTTTATGCGAACGTGCGATACAAAAAGAAGTTTTTAAGGCATTTTACAAAAATCTTCATAAATTTAAAATATGAAAAATTCTTAAAAAAATATGAGATGTTATTGAATTTTTTTCACCAGGGTAATATTGTCGATAATATTGTAAAATAATCAATAATAAAATTTTTTTCGCATTTGTTGGAAACAGGGTGGAAACTGCGAGATCGATGGCAAGAGCGATGTGCAGGATTTCAAGGCACTCTTGTCGGCCATGCAGGTTCTCGGCTTCTCGTCCGAAGAGCAGGACACAATTTTCAGGATTCTATCCAGCGTGTTGCATCTGGGAAACGTATACTTTCACCGGAAACAAATGAGGCACGGCCAGGAAGGCGTGGAAGTCGGTTCCGACGCTGAAATACGCTGGGCGGCGCACCTTCTTCAAGTAAATTCCGATGGCATCATCCGAGCTCTCACTACCAAGACGACAGTAAGTTTTCACTTTGGTACATCTCACATTTTGATTCAATCGATATCGAAGAGTTATCATGAAGATGTTTGAAAGAAAGTTTCACGTCGTTCTTTATATAAAATTATGTCTGCCTCTAAACTTATTTTAAACATTCTTATTGTTTTGACCACACCATTGAATGAACAGGAGACATAAATCCGTTTATTTATTATCGTAGGAAGCGAGGAACGAGAGAGTCTTCACTGCTTTGAATATCGATCAAGCCCTCGATGCCAGAGATGCTTTCGCGAAAGCTCTGTATAGTTCGCTCTTTTCATGGCTAGTCGCGCGCGTCAATCATATCGTTTACAAGGGTACAAAGCAGACGGCCGCCATTTCGATCCTCGATATCTTTGGCTTCGAAAATTTCACAGAGAACAGCTTCGAGCAGTTATGTATTAATTATGCAAACGAAAACCTGCAGTTCTATTTCAACAAGCACATTTTCAAGCTCGAACAACAGGAGTATGCGAAGGAGAAGATCGACTGGACTACTATCAACTACACGGTGAGATTCATTTTGTTATCTGGGTATTTCGTAGCGTGAAACTTTTGCGAAACATGTCGGCATAAGCTCATAAATCTTGAAAGTAATTTGATTGTCCATCCTCAGGATAATTTGCCGGTCATCCATTTGATCGCGAAAAAGCCTGTAGGCATTCTTCACTTGCTGGACGATGAAAGTAACTTCCCTAAAGCGACGGATCTTTCTTTCTTGGAGAAATGCCATTACAATCACGCGCTAAGCGAGCTGTATTCTAGACCAAGGATGAACTCCGCCGAGTTCGCGATCAGACATTATGCTGGACAGGTCTGGTACAACGTAGAGGGCTTTTTAGATAAGAACAGGGATACCTTGAGACCTGATGTAGTCGAGTTACTGATCAGCAGCAAGATTTCGGTAAGTCTTGTTTATGTTGGATTCTTATAATAAGATACTTATAATAATCGTGATTATAGATGGTCAGCAAGATGTTCCAACATGTCAGAAACACTCATGAAGCTAATAAAACTATGAATAAACCGAATGGCAGATTTGTCACCATGAAGCCGAGAACTCCGACTGTTTCGGCTCGATTTCACGACAGTCTTCAGCAACTCTTAGAATCTATGTCTCAGTAAGCATTCAAATGATAAATTTTCTGTGCGATATTAAAAATTGGTAGACGCTGCAAATTATGAGAAACCATTTTTTAATTAATTTTATAAAGCTCAGAAGATTTTGATAATATTTAAGAAAATCTAAAATGTCTACAAAGTTTCTTAATTGACATTTTTATTGATTTCTTGGATTTTGTAATAATTATTATTGTCACACTTGACAGATTTGAATAGTTATTTCTTTTCCAATGCACTTGCAGATGTAATCCGTGGTTTGTCCGTTGTATCAAGCCAAATACTGAAAAAGCTCCGATGAAGTTTGACATGCCCTGCGTGCTTGAACAATTAAGATATACGGGCATGTTAGAGACGATCCGTATCAGGAAAACTGGCTACCCGGTTCGCCTTCTGTTCGGACACTTTGTGGATCGGTATCGTTATCTCGTCTCAACGCATTTACCTAGGGGAGCGCCCAACAAGGAGCTCTGTAGAATCATTTTAGACAAAGCGGCTCCGAAAGAGGCACAGTCACAGTATCAACTTGGACTCACACGAGTATTTTTACGCGAATCATTGGAGAGAGCTTTAGAATATAACAGAGCATTGATTCTGGAGAGAGCAGCCATCACAGTCCAGAGGTATGTGTCAAATTATGCAAAAGAAAAGACACGGAAGGATATTTATTACTTTATAATTATATTAATTGTATATGAATATATATATACTATGTATACATAGTATATTTGATATAATTTTCTAAAAGGGTTTGTCAAGCATTCGAAAATAATCAGATAACGTGTCCTGAATTGTTTTTTCAATATGTCGCCGACGTCTCATTCATTATATTCCTGAAAGAAAGTGAATTGAAAAGTATTTACATTTCAAATTAGATTTATCTAATTTTATACGAACATAATTTAAAAATCATATTCTGACAAAACTGTTGCATTATGACAAATAATCTTAGCGCATTTATTGTAAAATTGTCATCAATTCTTGAATGATGTCATTGTTGTGCAATGTTTTCACAATTTGCCTATCAAGGTTGCTAAATATGAAATTACTATAGCATTGATGTTTGTTACTTATAATTGGTGCTTAATGGATTACGATTAAATATCTTACAGAAATCCATCCTTAAATGTCTCACAGAAATCTATCCTTTTCAATTCAATTGAAATCAACGAAATTAATGTCAATAAATGTGTGAATCTTTTCCGAACGTTGTTCTAACGGTTTCTCTTGCAGATATACGAGAGGATTCTTGGCTCGCAGAAGATTCCTCAATATTTCTCGAAGCACAGTTCTGATACAAGCAGTATATCGTGGTTATCGTGAACGTAAACAGTTCCGTGCGATGAAAAAGGGTGTCCTAATGGCGCAGAAATTGTACAGAGGTAGGAAACAACGAGAGGTATTCAATATATTGAAGGAGGAGATGGCGAAAAGAGCGGAGATCGAAAGAGCCAGTAAAGAGCGAGCGAAGGCGAAACAACAACGAGAGGAACAGGAGAGGACCTCGCGAGCTGTAGCTGGTGTAAATCACTTGGAGATTCCCGCAGAACTAGCTTTTATTTACAGCAAGCTTGATGGTGCGTATTTATCAGAATAAATATTAAAACATCATAAAATTTATTAAAATTTTCGAATGTGTTTCTTCCACAAATTATTTTTCGAATTTTTAAATATCTTTTTTGTAATACTTAGATTGGCAACCCACACACACCGAGCGAAACCTTCTCAAGGTCGTTGGCCAAGTCATCCCGATAAATTATACGTACAATTTACCGTCCGACATCGATCAGTATCAATTCTCGAAGTTCACCAATATTTATTTCAAGAGTCACATCTTCGGAATGAAACGCGAGCCGATCAAGACACCGTTCTTAGCAAAGGCTCGCGATCAGGATTACACGGATTCTTTGATGATCTTTAAGATGATATTGCGTTTCATGAATGAGAGTAATCTTAATGGCAAACGCGAGCAAGCGTTGGGTGACTACATTGTTAACAAGGGTATCGTGAACGAGAAATTGAGGGATGAGATATTATGTCAGTTGGCAAATCAAACCTGGAAGAATGAGAACGACGCCAATAAGGAAAGAGGATGGTTGCTGCTATCCAATTGCTTGTCAGCATTCCAACCCAGTGCCACGCTCTTTAAATACTTTCTGAAGTAAGTGTTTTTGGTTACGGATGATAACTTGTCATTTATCTCTAATTAATTATTTCTAATTCTTTATTCAGATATGTCTCCGATCACGCCTACGACGGCTACAAGGCTTATTGCCAACGTAAATTGTTGCAAGGCGAGAGAACGGTACACCATATGATGATTAATAATCAACAAACAGTGCATCAAGTACCCAGGAATTATCCACCGTGTGTCCTAGAATGGCGAGCCAACAGGAATCGCGTAAATATGGCGCTCAACGTTGGCTTCTACGACGGTAAATTGCGTTCTCGAATTCGTAAAAATAATTTTATAAAAGATAGCTAATTCTGCAAAGACAGATTTTGAACAGAGTATGCTATCAATTTCTGATAGGCAGAAAGGCAACAAAGGACCCCGCATTAATTATATGAAAAATTGACCGTGAAATGAGCTGTAGTTTATGTGATGAAAAGCCTTATATTTACACAAGGTTCAATAGTGAATAGTTTTTGAACTATCGTTTAGCAAAGGTGTAAAATCTTGTGCTCAAAGAATTATACTTTTGATACAACTCAAAAACTATCCATTATTGAACCTTATGTTAATGATGTCTTTTATTCATGATATTAAAAGCTATATTGTGTGTGAAAATTTATTTACCAGGATCGAATTTTTCACATAATTAATGATCTTTTCACACAGAATGTATAACATAATCTATGTCGACGAACTGCTAGAACAAAGCCTACTAATATGCTTTGCCAGTAGATTGACAGCAGAAACTAAGCAAAAGATTTACAAATCCTGAGATTAATGTGACACATATTGCTACAGCTCTGCAGTGAGAATCTGATCGAGTTTATTGCTAATCTGTCAGCAATTTGCTAGCATTTTGCTATCTGGAAAAGTGTGCTGCCATAAAAATTCCATTTGCAACTGATAATTTTTCATTTTACAGGCGAGACAACTACATGCGCGATAGATTCCTGGACAACATGCGAAGAGTTGGCTAATCTCGCGGTTCGGAATCACGGGGTAGAGAACACTGGCTGGACTATTACGCTCTGGAATCAACTGGACGGCCCGGACGCTATTGTGACGGAGACTAACGGCTTCGATTACGTCCTGGACCTAATCTCAGAGATGGAATTGGCACCAGCTTTCCCCGCTGCCAAGCATATGTTCTTGGAACAGCGCAAGAATAGTCTGCCGCCCATAAAAAAACGAGAAGTAAGAGAAATTCAGCGTTGACTTTAATATAGGAATTTTAAGTAAAAATAAATTGTAGAAATGTGCAGTGAAAGAAATTGTTGTTAAATTGTTAAGTTTTGGTTTAAAATAATAATCTCCTTTTTAGCACGCTCAAGTTATTCGGGAGTTGGAACAAGAGATGGAAATTCCTATTCTAAAAACCTTCCAACCTTTGGAAAGAAAATCAGTGCCAAAAGTAGTTGACAAGCCCGTTGAATTGGAGATTCAAGTACCCAGGCGGCCGATAGTTCCTCCGCCACAACCACCCGTTACGAAACTACCCGTATGTATTAATTTATTTAATTTTACGATTTTTAATCTGACGAAAATTTTTCTTACAATTCTTCATATAATCTTTTCGAATTTCTGTATAATTTTATAATTTTTTAAAAAGTTTTTCAAATTTTTTGTATTAATTAGAACATTTCAGTACTACTGAAGTCTACATTTTTCTGGAATTCTTTATACACATGAATTCTGAAATATTCTAATGTTAAAAATGGTAAAAAAACGCCCTTTTTTATTCCTTTCATTCCAATTCACTCAAAATCCTAACTAACTGCTAAACAATTATTACCAACGGCATCGTGTTCAGCGCAAAAAAAATCTTTGGAAAACGTACTTTTCTAGTCATAGTCTTATCTAGTCATAGTCAGTCTTACATACTGGTGGAAAAATTTCGCTGAAATTATTTCACGTTTTGGAACACTTTTCAGCAAATTTCAACATTTCAGAAAAAATTCAGTTTAATTTCAACGATTTTTAGCTGAAAAATTCATTTTTAGCAAAATTTCAGAGAAATTTCAGCAAAAATTTCAAATAAATTTCAGTTCAATTTCAGCGATTTTTCCGTATGTTAGTTGAAAAATTCGCATTTAGTGAAATTTCGGCAAATTTTCAGCAATTTCGCTGAAATGTTCCAAAACGTGGAATAATTTCAGCGAAATTTTTTTCACCAGGGTGTGTTATTCAACCTAGAACTGTCTACATAAGGTTGGATAATCAAAGTTCTATTGTATTTAATAATTTATTAAATCATTCTTTTACCAATTGTATTTGAAAAGGTGATATCAATTTTATTTGGATACATGCAGATGCGAAAACAATCGCACGACGTTATTTTGGAGACTACAACGGAAATGGGATTGTCGAGAAAATCCGCTTTAAACGACCGCTATTTTGAAAAGGAGAAACAGCGTAGCCGAAGTTTGGACAACCTGCTTCAGTCGGAAGTCGTGCCTTCACCGGTAAAACTTGCCAATCTCGGGCTTTCCTCATCTAAATTGAACGAACGATATCACAGTTTGGAAAGAATCGGTGAGACTCCGGCAGTCAGTAATGTTGAGTACATGACACGTACTGAGATTACACCGGAGAGGAAGTATAGCAGGGTCACAAGGACGACGGAGCCCAACATCGAGGAGGAGGATCTCACGATTGACTTTGAATACCCGGATATTCAGTCCGTTAGTCAAACCGGAAGATCGGAGGATGATAAGAGCTATATAAGGTCGCAGACCAGGTTCATCAAGTCGCAATATCCTGGTAAGTAGCTGAGTAAAAATCATTCGGGAGAATTCCGTCCATATCCCCATAACATAAATCCACTTATGGTGCTTAAAAATTTTTCTTTCTCAATGTATCAGAAAACTTTATATTAAATTAATTGACTAATTAGCGGTGTGGGCAATTGGATCTTCTCAAATCAAATTTATCATCTTATTTTCTTATCATTTTTCGAAAGATTTTCAAAAATTTTATTGCATATGCATTATGTTATGACATCAATGATCTCGAATTTGTTCTTTATTCTCGTTATTTAATTCGCTGTTGCGTAAGATATATTTTACACTTCGAGAATTTCCATCGCAGAGAAAGTTGGCAATTACGCAACTAAATTTTTTCGGATCGATCGCGTATTATTCCCTTCGCATTTACAGGCAAACGTGCGCTGCCGGGAAGTCAGTCTAGTCGCGCTTACATCGAGAAGAGTGAATATGGTGTAAAATCGTCTGCCATGTCCGACACCAGCGAGGCGCCTTCTTTAGCGTCGCATGTGAGACGCGTTAGGGTGCCCAGCCAAGCTTCCGACGTGGATCAATTTTTAGATGAGCTTTTTATGCCCGTATTGGATGGCAATCTTGACGAACTATCGGATGCCCGTAGTTTGGCCGCTTCGATAAAAGGTTCATATGATATCAGGACATCTGGCGACCAAACAGTTTCCGAGAATCTGCAAAGAATCGACAGTCGAGTTATCAGAATAGCCACAGTTGATGACTTTGTCGAAGGAATGATGATGAGAAATAATGATGTGAATATCGATGCCGGTGAATTGTCGAAAAAGATTAAGGGAGGTGGCAATATGGACATCCCTAATCAAAACGCAGCTTTTAACTTCACCCCTATTGCACAGAGCATGATGTCACCACCTATGATGATGCCCATGTTTAGCGCTACTCAACAGGTTCCGCCCGCACAGAATACCAGCATGAGCATGGGTGCAAGTTTCATGCCCATTCCGATCTACAGCATGCAGGGACTCAGTTTACCGCAATATCCCAATTCACCGCCTAGCCAAAGCAACGATATGATGGCGTACCAACAGAATCTGCAGCGAGCTTTCCTGCAGAGTGCAATGGCGCAAAATATTCAGATACAGCAGCAGCTATTAGCGCAGAATCAGGCTCTGCAGCAGCTGTTGGTTCAGAGCCCGCAAAACTCAGGACAGCAACCGGTAAGAAACTAGTAAAGAGAAAAAAAATAGAGAAGAAAGAGAGACAACAAATCTGTACATAAAGTTTAATATTCGAGGTTTATGTGATTAAACAGAATGATTAACGAATTGATCTTCTTTTACCGTGATTCAAATTTAATTAAACCACAATTGTTAGACATAATCTGTCTAGAAGAGTCCACATTTTTCTTTTTCCAGACATTTAATTCTTCAAATAATTTTTTGATATTTTTTCAAGAGATGTTATTTGGATAATATTGAACTCCTAAAAATTGAGTCACGATAAATAGATCTGAAGCAAACGTTGCATGTCGAGCACGATCGCGAGAGGTTTACCGCAACCGGTACGGCTCATAATCACGTTCACGGTCACTTGACTATCATTAACTCGATGATATATCATCGATAACCGAAACCGGCAATATTGTGCGCTTAATGAGAGCTAACTCTTAACGAAATTATCGTCGTTCTGGACGATCCTGTGGGTTTCTGAGCCGCACCGCGGCATGGGGTGTGTGTTTCCAGAGCACGGTGTTACCCGCTGGCCCCTCAAGCATGAATCTTGTTCCCTCAGCCCCCCCAATCGGTGCCCATATGGGGCCCAATGATTCTATCGGACGCTACTCCAAGGTATCTACTGATTTTAACTAACCTACGCTGTACTTATGGCTTTCCTAGGGCTACGGAAATATCATGTGCATATCGTCTAGCAGAAACTGAAGAAGATATTTGTGGAATTAAGGCCAACCTGATCGAACAATGTCTTATTCATCAAATCATCTCGTGACTTTTTTCGGAATACATTTTTTTTAATTTCGAGTCAATCCTGCAAATTTCATTGCTGTAAATAATTTTCTAAATAAATTGAATAAAAGCTCCATCTAATCTTTCTTGGATTAGGTTTCATTTAGAGAACCCGACGACGGTGAATTATGGTCAACCGAGAAACGGGGAAGCTCCGTTCTAACTTCCACTCCAATTAGTCAACGACAAGAAACGATGACAGTAAAAGCCCAAATTCATCGATCTCAGAGTCCACCAAGGAAGAATGCTGAGACCAACAGGAAGACAAGCATTGATTACGCGCGAAAGCTTAGCGTGGATCGTAAAGTAGTAGATAGGAAGGCGTCATCAGCACAGGCAGACATGAAGAGAACCAATTTAAATAAGAATAACATACAGAGTAACTTTACTAATGTGCTCAGCGAACTGAAAAACAGGAAGAGCAGCGTGGACAGCAATCCTTCAAGTTTGAGCAATAATAAAGGTGTTCCTCCACCCCCGCCGATGCCTCCGCCTTTAGAGTCTCATGATCCTTCCGAATCTAGACCGTTCCTCGATCCATACGGTAGGGCGAAGACGGTGCGCATCGGAAAATGGAGGTAAAAATCCACAATTCAACAAACTGATAGTGAATTTAGACTATTTAGAGAATTACTTGTTTTCATAATATAGGGACAATCGAAGGATAAAGTTAAAATAATAGAGCAAATGAGAGCCAAGCGCTGTAGTTAATGCATACAAATTAAAATTCACAATACATTGTTATTATTAGCTTAAATTATAGATAAAAATTCGAATGTTCTGACTCATTTTTGAGCCATTTTCAATGGAAATTGAATTAGTTCGATTGTTCGACAAGTATGCTCATATAAATTTCGATGGTGAGAACCATTATAGTTGTTAAAAAGATAAATTGTGTGTGTCATTCACAGTAATTACAAAACCGAATGAACTCTTATTGATTTAAAATAATTTTATAAATAAACGACACACATCCAAAGAATTAAGAAAATTAAAACAGTCAAAAATATAAAAATAAATATAAAATGATCACTTACTAAAAAGTTGGAATGCATAAATAGAACATTACTCGTTGAATAATACTAATATCTTATTTTCATGTTGCCTAGGTGGCCACCGCCTAGCGACTCGAACGAGAATCAAGGGCAAGACAGTTTCATAGAATTCAAAATGCGTCAGCAACATCAGCAACGCAAATTAACGCCGCAGTATCAGGAGTATGACCAAGGCGAAGGCGAAGCTACAACGGAAGGTGGCGTTGAGTGGGAAGAATTCGAAATTGAGAACATCGTCAGCAACGAAGATCGATCCGTGATTGCGCAAACGACCGCGGCGAAACACGAGAATGGATACAAAGAAGAAGGAGAAAAGAAGAAAAAGAAATCGAAGTAATAGACATCATACTTCTCCTTTTATATCGGATTTAAGAAAGCGACGATACAAATTGTTGGATCTTTTCGTAGGTCGGCGTTGGAAGTGGGCGCGCAGAGACCATCTCCGGGAAGTATAGGAAAGTTGAAGCTCAGCTCAGAGATGAGGCAGAGATTGGAGAAGGTAACGGCGAATCATAGCGTAAGATCCACGAAGACGGCTGAGAAACCCGCTCTCCCGCGAGAAGATGGGAAGGTTAAACGGTTGGAAGATAATCGGAAGCTTCTATTAGAACAGCAACTAGGTAATTAAATAATTTTTTGTATATCCTAGTGTTATCCTAGAACACACCAAGTCCAGAAATGGGACATAAAACTTCTTAAAGGTATTTAAAAAGTCTTTAATCCTATGTGTTATTAGTCTTATGTGTTAATTTTGGACATGCGTGTTGTCTGAGATAAAGCCACAAATATCAAAATTAGGAGTAGAAATATATTTATTGTTCGAAAAATTGGAATTTTAAGGTGGCAGGTGGGACGATTATGCCTCTACTGTTGATGACACCCAAAGCGTTACTTCTAAGGGTACAACCGACATGATGACACAAGCTCAGGTGGTAAGAACACAGATTGAAAGAATGGAACGGCCTGTACCGCCCCCGCCGCCCATCACGCCGCCGCAGCCACCGAGTCCAAGAGGCGGTAGTGTATACAGTAACAGGTAATGACATCACGCAGATACAACAATAAATGATTTTTCTGTCTTATGTTGGAATTGCCTAAAATGTTAAATAGATATTCAGAAAAAATTATTTAAAACTTAACACTGTCAATCTTAACCTATAATTTATAAAAGTAATAACAAATAGAAAGTAAGCAAGCGTTGTACCTTTAACCAGTAACTGATATGGTACTTTTGATCAGTCAATACGTCGGATAATCATTTAGTTTAGCTATCTTACCTCCAATATTAATAAAATTAGGCGCTCATTAGACGCGATTTTGAATGAAATGAACGAAGGACACCATTTTTGACAGATTCAATCGTTTTATGGAAAAATGAAAATCGCGTCTTTGTATGGCAAAGTTCATTTTTATATATTTTATGTATAAAGTTGTATATACGGTGTAAAAAAACATTAAAAATATAAATAAAATTAAACTTTTATTGAATATCTTATCTTTATACACACATTTTATACATTGGTTAAAGGTACAACACTCCCTGATCAGAGGTACAACATGGGTGTTGTACCTCTTTGACCAAAATTCAATTTTTTTCTATTGTAAAAAAAGATGTACAAAACATAACAATTTAAATCTATAAAAAATATATGTTACTGTCAACACTTCAAAGAATATTTTAGAATTTTTTTTAATTTTTAGACATCAAAATACAACTTGCACAAGAAAAAATGTCAAAATTGGTCAAAGGTACTCCACCTTCCCCTACATCAAATTTGAAAAATCTGTTAATAATTTTTTAAAATAATATTTTTAAATGAGTAATTATAAGTATATACATATTAATAAAATGAATATTTGTGTGAAAAGCCATAAAAAAGATGCAGAAAAGATTTTGTTACATCAAATATAATGAATGTTATTAAATGACAAAATCAGCAAATAATTTATTTGTTTTTAGTCAATCCGGTGTACCTCAGCCGCGATCTCCGCCAGCACCCATCGAACCGAAAACACGCGACTCCTTCCGCACGTCTCCGGACTCCGAGACTTATGATCATTTCTCAAAGAACCAAATGTTCAGCCAAAGTCGTGATATCTTCGCCTCGCAGCAACATTTACGCGACGGTCACGATTATCGAAACGATTTCGACCAGGTTCGCGCTCAGGATGCCAAGTCGAAAGACTTTTATAGCAAGGACAGCATCGATCTGGCAAGTTCGGTGCGCGATCGCAACTCCGACTTCGACTCGCGTCGTGACCTCAACTCCGAGCTCTTCGACTCCAAGTACGCGTTTGACGGATCTGCCGGAAAACGCGATCCCTTTGGCATGACTCGGGACGTATCCCCTAAATCTCGGGACAGCTTCGGGATGCCATCGCCGCGTGACTTCGGTGTAATTCCGAATACGAGGGAGTCTTTCAGTGTCGCGCGGCAGAGCTTTAACAAGTTGGATCGGGATGTGGATAGGCGGTCAAGCGTAGCTTCGACCCATCGCACCGACAAGATGGAAAGGATCGAGATTGAAGAATGGCCGGAGTTTCTCAAACCGGTATTACCGCCGGCGGACAAGCCGGAGATCGAGAAAGTCCAGGAGGTGATGAATACCAAGCTCTATCCGCAGACCTCTAACGCGCATTTTACATATAACAGAGTTACATGGACTCTGAGAGTCAAGAAAGAGGTCTTTGCGCCTAACGAAACGCTAAATAGTCCTCTGGCATTACACTTGGTATTCTGTCAGGTTGTATACGACGTGCTGGCGACCTCCAGCATAAAAATCACCAAGGAAGACCGGCAGAACATGCTGAAGATGCTGGATAATTATGGCGTTACGCTGGATAATCTTCAGAGCACGCAACACAAAATCACGATCAAGAAGAATGTCGTGGACATGGCAAAGCAATGGCCATTATACTTCGCCCGGATATTTCCTGTATCAGTAAGTTTATATTTATTTTTCCATGATGCCTAAAAGCACTAGCCGACAAAATTTCACTTTTTTCATATTAAGTTGATCTGATAGGATGTTTCTTATAGTATTTTTGTGCTTTTATCTGTTTGCCAAATTAATGAGGAGGACAAGATTTTTGAGTATAACATGCATTAAAAAAATTCCTTTTTTCATATCTTTTCTACTCAGACGTAAATATATTTATAGGGAATAGCTGCTGAATTTAATAATTCTCTACTCATTATAAAAGATTTCAAACAAAAATTAATCATTTTAATTAAATAAAATACTTTGTACATAAATGTGTGTGTGTGTGCTGTTAGCAAAATATATATCAAAATAACACAAAAATCAGCCAAAATTACTCATTTAACGAAATCATCGTCGACCAGTGTAATTTAAAAGCGTTTTTCCTCTATCTACCGAAAAACGCCGATCAAAAAACAGAAATGATCTGAAAGTTTCTTTATTACTTCACGACCCGATAATCTCAATTTAAACTCTGCTGAATTAAAATTAAAATTAAATTAATTTAAATATAAACTCTTAATTAAAATCTAGATCGGCCCTCAACACCCGGAGACGCAACACGTGGCGGTGTCTCATCACGGACTTCGGTTGGTCAAGCGCACACTAAATGGAGATCTGATCATTTTGGAAACCCTACCGCTAGAGGATATTGTCTCCGTAAATTCTTCCAGGCCGGGTGTGTGCGTGCTACAGATCGCGTCGGGAGTCAGATTACCCCTACACACAAATCGCGCCCCGCAGTTGACGGAGATGATCGGCAAATACATTAGGCTGGTAAGTGTGATCTTATCTTTTCTATAGACGCGGTCGAATATCGCACGCTCGTCTACGACCAATTAGCGATGGTCGACCGCAGAAACGATAACGGCACACATGATATACCTCGCAACGTGCCTGTAACGAGGCAACCACGGACAACGCCTAGTGTAAATTGCGTTTCCAGTGAGCAGTCATATATGCTGGCCAATGCCTCCTTCTCCGTCTCTCTTTATTCTTCTTCGCTTTATTTCTCCCCTTTTCCACAATCGGAGAACGTCAGCATCAGCGATCCATTACCGACGCTGCGTGCTCGATGCTTCCATTCTTCTACATTTCTTCGGTATCACAATGTGGAGTTCGCTCTAAATCACATCGAAAAATTTAAGACACTTAACACATATTTAAACGAAAATTCTTTAGTCATCTGTGGCAGAATGAAGCAAGTGTCTACTACTCACAATGTCATCTTCTGTTTTCTTTATTTTTATAATTTGTATAGTTTTTATTTTATTTGTATTATTTTTGTATTATTTCATCGACATTTTGAAATGCCACGAGAATTCCTTGCAAATCGGCTTTTTTTGTCGGTAATCCTTCCGTTGTAATTCTCGTATAAAAAAGAAAGAGGAAAAAAATGAAATTTTATTTCTCTGAATGTCTTGATCTTTCGTATTTTGACGCTATCAAAGACGATGTATGCGAACAAATCGCTCTCTTAAAGGTAAAAGTTTCTTCTCTATCTCACATTCAAATACTTGTTGAATCTATCCTTAGTGAATCATTAAGACCATGGAACAAAGTGGTTTTTTACGCGCGGATGAGAGAGCGCGAGAGAAAGAGCAGGAAGGAGAGAGTCTCGTCTTTATGTCTTGTGCGTCTTGTGCAAACGGAGAGATCGGATTTCTTATAACACGCGCTACGTCTATTCATTGGATACACCTGTATAAAGCATCGTCGCCGCACGCGATTCATGGAGCGATCGTTCAGAAAAACAGCAGGTCGTTCTCCCGAATACCGATGACCGAATGTTAAATTGCAAACTTTCATTATTCTTTCTAGGAAAGAGAAAGTTGAGAAAGGGCACATTCATTTGATATTTATTAGTAATTATAGATATAGACAAAATCTTGCGGGCATGGAGTCGAAGCGTTTAATTGTTTTTGATTAATATTTAATAAAGATTTCATATACCATATGGCATGCACGAACAGCTGGTGTTGGCTTTTATAGGTATTTATATTTTTATAATTTTTTTTTTTCTAGACTCTTGTCCTCTTCTTTTTTTATAAAAATCTTCTCTGTATGAATACTTGTTGCATTCATTTTGTAGACGGCTTAGAAATCATGGTTCTCGCCACAATTCCCTTTTACACTAAACTTCCGATTCCATCTTACTTTCACGTTGTCATTGACAATCCAATAATTTCCTTCAATTATTCTCGATTGAGGTTTTCCCTCGAGCGGGATAATTATCGAATAAACGACCTTTACTGAAGCATGCGCGCAATTTCAAATTCCATTACGGATTATATAACAGTAAAAGAGCCGTATAATCGCGAATGCGTGCAATGTTTTCGCGCAACGGAAGATGGATGTTTTTTTCGTTGCATCTATAGTCGAAGATTAACGTCAAAGGATCGAAAGAATGCGGCGGTCCGTTTGTAAAAATGTACGATAAGTATTCATAAAAACATCGCGTGGCATGGAGACCAGCCAGTAGTCGTAGAAAGCCGGTTTAATTAATCTCATAGCGATTCCATTGTCCAATGCGTTTCTTGAGGAGAATTTTTACATTACAAAGGATGATTATTTCATTATACTTTGTTTCTCTTTTATTATTGCTAATTTTAATTGGGGAACCGTCTTCACATGTGAAATCAAGAGTAGTCGAACATCTTACACATATTTTCTGAATTGATGAATTTGATATCTCGAAATTAACAGTAAATGAAATAATATTTTTATCTCGAAAAGTATTTGCAAAGTAGAACCATTTAATAATTTTTTTAACATTAGAAGTACAGCGAGCGATCATTATTGGCCTTTCTACTTTTTAGACTATATCCTATTTTTTGTGTAAAAAAATCAGATTCTTTTACACAGAAATTTGTTGATATTTTAATAATTCTTTATACTGATTTGATTTTTTATCACTTTGTTTATTTTTATATTCGCTTGGTCCTTTTAGTGAATGAGAAACATTGATATTTCTATTAGTATTAATCGTTAAGTGCAATCATTTTAATCATCTGCATCTTTTTTTTCGCGGAGATGAGTTTCGATAAAAAAAAGAAGAACGCAGATGCTTGGATTTCTTCCGAGTGATTCCGAGTTCAAGCAACTCGTATTTACCGGCGGCGGCAGCTTGCTCTCCTCACGCTACACGGACACCGGAAGTGGTTTGAATTGCTAATGCGAAACGGTGCTCATTATTTCTTTTTACCACGTTGGCCCAAATCTCCTTCACATTCATCATTCTTTCGTCATTTCGCCCTTAAGCAAAAGTACAGAAACTTTGAAACCAAATTGAATTTTTACTTTCACAAAATGCTCCCTTTTTAGAATCTATTAGGAAAGTCTCGACTGCAACTAAAGAAAAGCGTGTTTCATAACATATTTTTTTGGTTTTGTGCACGCTGTTTTGCGAGGTAAATATTTCTATTCCGTATTAAACATATAATTAAATTGTACAATATATATTTGCAATATATACTTTTGAGGCTTTTATGAATATTTTCTACGTTTCGCGGGTTATTCCTCCAGATCCATTGGAACAGAACCTTCAAAGGCACGGCGTGCCTTTTACGTTATGAAATCCCTCTTCCTTCTTCCCCCCATTAGGTTTCTGATCTAACTATTATCTGTCAAAAGGCAGATAATAGTACCGTACTATGATACTGTGATCCGCCTCTGTCAAAAATCTAATCTAAGGAAGAATGTCATTAGAATGTCAACATTTTGTGAACATTGCAATTCACTTTATCAAAGCGAGCCTGATACAAGTACCAGATATTTTGTACTGTGTAATTTTTAATTCTGTTCTGTGATTTGAATCTCACGATCGAACACCTTTTTAATTTTTTAAATTAGGAAACTATTAAAATTTTTGTACATGAAAAGATGATTGAGTTAAAAATATTCATGTAAAGTGGAAAAACTTTATCAATAAAGGTTCAATACATAATCATGCTGTCTTTGTTGAGCCAGCTGTGACTGTCCAATCAAATATCCTGAAGCCAACAAATACTTTTCATTAAAGAATAATAGGCCTCGTACGTTGCAAGCGCGCTAATTGGAGAACACAATAATTTCAATTTCACTGCTTCGTGTGCATTCCATGCGTTCACCACGTGACATCTTGACGGTTAGAATTGCGGAACGAAAGAGCAAGTAAATAGAAAACGTAAGAACGGAAAGTGTTTTTCCGCGTTCACTGTCGCTCGACTGGTCTCTCTAATTCTATAACGCGAAAGGAAAAAAAAAGGAAATGAATCTCGCGACGCAATTTAGATCGCGGAAAATATTTCGTTCTTTGGCGCAAGAAAAATGTCGCTCTGTAGAAAGAACGCGAAGTGAGAAAGTGCCATTTCTCCGGGGACATATATCGGTTTGAGTTTCTCGACACTTGAACGAGTCTTCAAAAATTGGAGTTTTCTTCAACGATCTCTTGAAATAAAAATGCAATCATTTTTGTGGAATGGCAAAAGAGAGAATATTATTTGAAAACTTTATTTTTTAAAAATTAATGTTTTTTAATATGAATTTATGATGTAAAGTGCAATAAAATTTATGATATAAATTAAATCTACTAATTGTTGTAATAACAAAAATTTAGTTGAGATATACCGAACAAAAATTTTCGGTTGAAATGTATTGAACAAAACAGTAATTTTATGCAAACTAAATTGTTTAGTTGATATATAAATATTTTTGTTATTTACAAAGCAGACAAAATAATTTCATAAATTACTTGGTAAAAACAATTAAATGTTTTGTTATATAAACAAAATATTTGGTTGCTGTTAAAAAATGCCTCGACTAAATAGTTCTATTGAAGGCATTAAATTTTTTCCTGAAGAGTATATTTGAGGGCGGGGGGATTGAAATATTTGAAGAGCTGGATGCACATGAAGTTAACTTAAGAAGAATACTTAAGGACTAAAGGCGAACGGATTTTAAAGGCCCCACGGATAATAGGTCGTTTCCGTTAACAGCAGGTGCATCGACCGCGTACAGCCGTGTGAACTTCAAAAGCCGTTTTCCGAAGCTGGTCTTCGAAAACTCTCGACTTTGCTTTTTAATAGACGACAGTGGATATGGGGAAAAATTGAAATCATATCACGATACGATAGGCGTGGGACTGAAGATTTTGCGATCGGATCCCATTGATCCGCAAATCACAATAATTCCGCGTAATGAGCCTATCGCTTCCAACTCTTTCCTTCTCTTCCGGTTCCGATTTCTATTTCATTGCCGTGCTCGCGGGGCACATTGTCGACTTGTGGAATCACAGTTGTAGACAACCATACAAAGAATTTCCTTTCATCCGTGGAGTTCTTTTATCTTTTACTTATACAGACCACTAGATTATTCTTCGAGAGAAACATCTCAGACGGCACGGGTAGTTTTTAAATTATGCCACTGAGAAAAATGTTCTGGTTATACTAACAAAATTATACAAATAAAATACATTTTGATTATATTAATATCAAAATATCAGAATTCCGGTTAATTGAATTTCCGATTATCTCGACTAGAATGTTTGATAAATTTAACTATAAAACCTGATCTCCAGAGAATATTCTCGAGTTACACCGCCAAACTTAAAATATAAATTTGAATGTAAAGTATAATATAAATTAAGACCTCAAAATAAACAAAATTTTTCTGTGAAATTTTTATCTTTAGATGTTAAACGGCGGTAACATTCGCTTCCATCGCAATCATTCATCTCTTAATTTAAATTTCTTTTTAATATAAATTTTTTTTATTAATTGACGGCAACTTTCATGATA